AGCTTCCTCACGCCGGAATACTAGTGCATCCCAGTTGAGTAACTTGACAACGTTTCGACACACAAGTATTCAAACTCGAGAAAATCTCAAGAAGGAAACTGGGCGCTGATATATGTCTGACATACACTACGTATTGGGCCGACATTTTACCGGTGTGAATAGATCACGTACTCGAAGGTCTACTACCTTTCGAGTAGGCTTCGACTATGCCCGAGTGCCGTGACAGGTGACAACCTATGGATCATTAAGTGAACTCGAGAGTCTCAGGAACTCTAATCTACTTGAATATAAACACAGGGACCTACTTAGATCTACTCATAGCCTTCGGTCTACTCAAACCTGAGGTACTCAGACCATGAACAGCCGCCTGCTCACAGCTGTCAGATCTATTTCGATCTATTCACACCCTCCAAAATGTCGAGCCAATACGTAGTGATATGTCGGGGAAAACAGGACCACCGGTTTCAACTCGTACGGTTGCCGAGCAGGCTCAGGCAGGATTCTCGTGACGTGTGACGTGGTTCGGCTTAGCTGGGCGATATTCGGGTGAGCTGGGGCAACTCAAGTCAATTTATACGTCTAGATTAGACAAGATTAGATGAAGATATTGGTCGGCATTTCTTTCAGGCACGATGGATTTGGGCGGGAACGCGTGTCCTTTGGCAGAGCCTCAATTTATAGTAAGTAATGTCGTATGTTTTTACTAGAGTCAACGGAAGTATATCCATCGTAAGTATTGGAGTATGGCGGTAGGCCTGACTGTATATCTAGATTTAGCAAAGCAGAAGATCAAATATCGAAACATACCTTTTTGGGAAGCTTTTCCTTGTTAGCAAGATACAATGTAGCTTCAACGCGAATAGAGTCTTATTTACTGAGCTTTCGAAGGTTGCCCATTTTGGCGTTGATGGAACTTGCAGACTGGAGAGCCTGGGCTTGTTTCAAGCTTGGTTGATGGAGACGGTGCTCTCGCTCAGTGACAGCGGCCGCAACGGCACATTGATCTTTGGCTTGGGGTAAGAATATTGAAAAGATTGACGAACAGCGAAGTAAGACATACCACGTCTATTTGATTCAAGCCCCAGGGCAGCTTTGCAACGACCGCAGTAGTCTCCATCTAGAAAGAGATAACAAACACTACATCCTTGGCATTGCGGTTCGTCCTGAAATTGATCAGAACGTGAAGAGCATGTCGCTGGGAGCTTACCTGGATTGCCTTGCGCGCATTGACCGATGCCGTCTTGAGCTTAACACATTTGTGACATATAGAGAGCTGGAGAAGAGGGAAATCAGTGCCACAACTATCACAGCAAGTCATGGTGGCAGGGGAAACAGGAAAATCGGCGAAGAGTCAGGCTTTTTGAGGCAGAAAACTCAAGTGTGATCAGCGGAAGCTTAATCAATAGTTAGAGGTAATATTCAACGAGACAGTAGGTGAGCAAGCACAGAGGAATGGAAGATACCTCCCTGAAATGCCGCTGGAAATGCAAGAAAGGACAAATAGCTGAAGAACAAGAAAAATGAAGATTTGAATGGACATTAAGCTCTGGCCAGGTACATGGCTGGCCATTTACTTGGAGTTGAAGAAATCATAGTGGTGGAAACATATGGTTGAGTGAGAAATAAGGCAGCTGTAGTACAAAGTGGACAGCCATGTTGATGGGAAGAACAGGAAAAAACATACGACGCCATTATGTGAGCAAGAACTCCGCCGTCCACGTGTTCACATTGACATCCCTGCCACAGAGCCAAGTCCATATCTTCATCTAATCTTGTCTAATCCAAATGTATAATTCGAACTTGAGTCACCCCAGCTCACCCGAATATCGCCCAGCTAAGCCGAACTACGTCACACATCACGAGAATCCTGCCTGAGCCTGCTCGGCAACCGTAAACTCGTCAGGAAAAAGCGAGTGTAAAGAAGCACCATGCACTGATAGCAACGACAACCGAGTGCCGATGTGTGAGAAAATTGCCAGCCGAATAGCATGCAGCCGTGATAATTTTTATTGAAAAAAAAACCTTATAACCCAGATCACTGGCAATATGAAATCAGTCCACGGTACAGCAGCGCCACAAATCGGCTCCTGTGTTGGACATTGACGTCTTATCACATTTCTTTACATCTTATCTATTTTATCTTCTCCCTTTATCTTATCTATTTCAAACGGACACTCGTATTTGAACCTCGATTTTCCAGTTTCATCCTCAGTCTTCCTACCATTGACTGAGGTGATTCTTATTTCTTCTTTTTCTTACTTTCACTGATGACACAATGTAGCCGTACTCATTCGTTGTCTCTTAGTTCATCGTGCATTCGCTCAAGATCCTGACGTGCGGACATTACATTAATATCACTGTTTGACTAAGTACAGACAGGCTGGTGACGAGCCTAGTTTGACCAGCCTCCGTTCTAGTCTGTTTGTTGACGGCGGACGCGGGTGAACCGGAGCGTCCGATTATTATGTAAACATTTAGCGTGTGCGGACGTCGCACTCGTCCTAACGCCCTTTTCCAGCGCTTTTTTCGCGACATTTGCATCCAGAGATGGCCCTGGATATTACAGGAGGTCGCTGGTATGGTTGTAGCATCAAGGGATAGCAATAAACAGGATATCGAAATGGCAGTTGATGTCACCTCACTGTGATGATGCTGACAACGTGATACTTACTCCTCGACCGTGACACAACTTGAGCACCTTTACACGCTACATTTGCGGGATTTCTGGTGAAGACTCGAAGTGATCTTGGTGGAAGACGAGACCAAAAAAACCAAGATGATCCAACTCCCATCATGTGACCATCATGTGACAGTCGCGTAGCGTCAAAATTAATCATGAAAGTAATATTGCGCCATGTCGATTAACAAATTGATTGTATATGTTCAAGGTAAGCATGAATTTAACAGGACACCACCAAGCATTGTCGGGAATAGCGAATCGTATATTCAAAATCACACATTCTTGAAAACTAGGTTCCTAAAGTACGCTTGCTGGTCTTTGGGAGATTGCCATATCGGTGAGGTACTTCCTCCGAAGAAAGTATGAACCTATTGATCATTAGTTGGACTTGTAAATCTTCCAGAATTGTAATCCTACCATTGCTCCGCGGATGTCCCCCGGGAGAACCAAGTTGTCAAAGTGGATCTTCTGGGTTCCATTGATATAAACCGTGATGGAAGCGTCGCCGTTGCCCACTGTAACTTCCTCCATGACTGTGGTCCAGTATCCAGCTGGAAACCTCCAAGCGCCCCTGTTTATGGAGGCACCAAACGGCAACGTACAATCATTGGTCTTGCAGATGGGCTTCTCATTGTTTGCAGTCGGGAGATAGGCGTATAATTCACCTTCACCGTCCTTGCGCCACACTTTGAAAATGTTAGTTAGATGTTCCAGATAGTGACGAATAGACATACTGATACGGGCAGACCAGCAGGAGTTGCTGTAGGCAGATTATCGACATATCCAAATCGAGAGCATCGTCAGCTACTCACTCGTGATGACCGCCAGCGCAAGATGCAGCTGTCTTCGGATCGCTGCCACCGTCTGCAAAGCAATGTTAACTACAATAACATGACAAAGCTCTACTCACATAATCCAGGAAGTTTTCCGCCTTCGACAAAATCAAAGTCCTTGTCGCTCTCCGTGCCAAACTTGACTTCGTACGAGAATTGCACTGTCTTGCCGAGCTTCTCAGTGCCTGCGGCTTCAAAGATGAATCCACCAATGCCGACAGTTTTAGACCCAGCGTAAGATCCTTTAGGGTAGCTCGCCACAAGGGTAGGCTCCCCTGCGAACGTCGTGAGATCCGACGATTTGAAGCCACCGCTGATACCAAAGTCAGATTTCGCCTCGTCAAAATTGGCACTGTGAGGCCATCCACCAGAGCTAGAGTCGGCCCGTGACTCAACTCTGGTTGAGAGCAGACCTCGTGGAATTGGCGCCGAGAATACGGGCAGCGCCAGCGCGAAAAGGAAGAGTGCTCTGAACAACATGATATAAGTAGTTGAGTTGAGTTGAGGTAGTAAGTTGAAGTTGTCCTGCAACACAGATTGACTAGCAATCAATGGATTTAACCGATGAGGGGGAAAGGCACCCGGCGCTTTGACGGAGCACTTCGTCTTCAGTATGGCCTTTTTATATCTTGTCGCCGAGTAGATGAGGCAGTGCTCAGTTCAGAGTCCAAAAGCGGAATACCGCCCTGGGCGCCCCGATATAGTTGGAAACCACAACGACGAACAGATTCCTGCAGCCATTCCTGAGTGGCATGAGATATCATGCTCATAGATACTCATTGAGTCAAATTTTCATCAAGGGATACTAAAAGAAATGCCTTATTACTGATGAATTCAATCACAGATTTATATCTCTCATTAGCATAGTAAGTAACCCAGATTGATGGTTCTTCAAAAGTATACCTGCCTTCCAGGTTCCGACGGTCATGTATAACGAACGTAATGTAAATGGGCCTTGTGAATTCGTGAACCTAAATACTTGTCCTGAAACTGAAATTTTTCGGTTCGGGTACAGAGCGGTTTACTATAATGAGCTCGGGCAGCGCACGGAGTACCAGGTACAATAATGACCGTCCAAGGCGTCGATGGTCCAAATCGATTCTCGAGGCCTTCGAGTCGAAATTATCTATCTGTCTGTCTGCATTGTTACTTCAAGACGTTGAGCGCATCCCAATCCTAGATGACAATTGAAACCATAAGTCTGTCCCTTGACGCTGGAAGATACAGTCTGAAAAGACCAGGAAGAGTTCCCAGATGGAACTTCTTCCAGTTGAAACAAGAAGTTTCATGAGTTCGTGTAAAAAAGTAGTCTGGACCAGGTGAAGAGACTCATATACACCTAGCCAGGGGATAATATATTGCAGGGCAATGTGTGCTGTAGTATTCCTCCTGGAATTCAGCTCTGTTTGTATGAAAGTCAGCAGGAGGCCATTGAGTCGGAATTCGGGGGACTAGAGCTAGAATACGCACAGCCCGCACACTCGTATGGTGGTATAGTGTAGTGGTTATCACTCGAGATTCTGATCGATTGATTTTCCGATCTCATCCTGTTCTCGAAACCCAGGTTCGAATCCTGGTACTACCTTTCTTTGACAAATGCGCTTTTTTGTATCCTACCACCAGTGAGTGGTCAGGCCACCACCCTCTCTTCTCCTCAGTTCAGAGAGTTCGGAGATGAGCCAAGAGGTCACGCATCACGACTGTGACAAGTCACGCTCTCCTCCCATTTCAACCTAAATTCTAATGATTCCAAGGCGCGCCATCGCTTTATTCAGCTACGAGATCATACCTTCTCAACCGACCTCTGTCTTTTCCAATATGCTGGCTATATGTGATACGTTTATGGTCATTTTACACCAGACGCCAGCGAGCGACATCAGGACACCTTTTCATGATTTGCAGCACTCCCCTAACCAGCCCCAACAAGCTAGGACCGAAATGATCATTCCATTCACTCGCACCCGTCTGGAAGTTCCCCTTGTCAAGAGATTCATGAGAATTCCCAAAAAACACCTATATGACTCCTGCTCGCCCAATTCTTTTGCAACGAGCCTCTCGATGCCTCAAAAATCGTCCTAACGTATCCATGTCCCAGCCATATCGATGGTTTCCTTTTCGGAGGACATCGAAATTTCGCCCTTCTGGACGGCTAGCAGCTCGACACCGTCAGACCGTCTTGAGAACTCCGACATCGTCCGAATCCTAAATTGGCTCAGGTTTTCTGGCAAGACTTGTCTTGTTCGGTTCAGAAACGGTTCTGAGACCAATACCGAAAGCCGATGGTCAGTTACGTTGATACCCGTTGGAACTTAGACCCAAGACGAGCAATTTATCCACATTTTGCCACCTGTAATGTACTGAACCGACTTCAGCAGGATTATTGCCAAGATTGGATTATAATCATTTCTAAAACAAAAACTCTTTGGAAATAGATACTTGTGTTCCAGATACTTCACCGGTTCCAGACACTTTGCTCTCTCTCCATCTTTAAACTGGGTTGTCTCTCTCTGCAGGGCGGCTCATGAGATATGTAATCTTCCACCACAAGGGTCTATCGGCCTAAGTAGCTTGTTTCAACGGCGATGAGTGGGCTGCAGGATCATGTCAGATTATCAAAGAAAGTCACAGTGAATTTCGAACTTGATGTCTCTGCAGTTGCTCTTTCCTTCCAAACGCTCTGCTACATTTAGGACACTTGAAAGGGCGTTCGCCAGTGTGCGCGTACTAGAAGAAAATGTCAGCTGAGATGGCCGCGCTTTGAGTACGTAATTCACACCTCATGCTTCGTCAGGGCACTACCATCAAGAAAACGAGCATTACAACCTGGGTATCGACATGCATAAGGCCGCTCTCCAGTGTGACTCCGCTGAGATACAGTTAGCGGGTAAAACACCTATGAGAGTTTACAAACATACCATATGTCGATTTATATGGGCGTATTTCGATTCAAACGAGCATCCTTTCCAGGGACACCTGTACCTCTTTGTCTAATTCGGTGACATCAAACCGGTCTCTTCGGTATGCTGGAGCTTACCTTGGATTGTTTTCGACTCTTTATAGCTGCTGGCTTTTCTCTTTTCTCTTCATTCTCCGATTCTGTAAGATCAGAAAGCTCAGAGAGATCGGAAAGATCGTGTCCCAAGTTCAAGTCCTGGGCGGCGAGCTTCTTCGTGGCGGGAGAACCCAAACTATCGGCCTTGGTCGAGAATGGCTCCTTTGATAACTGAATGTTTGATGAGACAGATGTCTGATTGGATGAGATTGAGGACTGCGTCGGAAGAAGAAGATGGGGAGAAACATTTGAGGAAGGCCGGTTCGGAGGTCGACAAGAAGAAGAGTGCTGGCTGGGAAGATTCAAAGAAGGCCGCTGAGAAGAACTCGACTTTCTCAAACGAGGCGGAAGCCCAGGTCGGATCTGTAGTGTGACACCACCACCGCTCGGTAGAGGCCTCGGGACAGGTAATGTCGATGGCAGAGGCCTTGGAACAGGCAATGCAAGCCTCTGAATCTTGAACCTCGGAGTTACACCGAACAGTGGCGAATGTGACAATGGAGGTGACTTTGGAATAGGCAGGGTCATCGATATTTCATGGATCGGCTTCGGTATGGGCAGTGCAGCTGTAACTGTTCCGATTCCTTCAGTATCATTCTGGCAAGACAAGGGACGCAGCACAACCATAAAGAGAACATGAAGAATAAGCAGAGCAAGAAAAGCGAATACAAGCAGAAAGGCGTGACAGAGAAAGACAACAGGCTAAAGGGGAACACAGCACGAAAACAAGAGAACAAGAAACTGACATTCGCATTCTCCTCCATAACTCTTGCTGCGACGATGTTCCAAGCTCTTTCTTCGACCTTCACGATTGCCTGCTGCCCGTCGCCCCAGTGCCCTCCTCGAAGATGATGTTCTCTCTTCTCCATAAACGCTCTCGTTCGATTCATCAGACGAAGATTCAGATCCAGTGTCGTTTTCCAAATCCCAATCAGTTTCCGAATGCACTGCAAGGTCTCGAGATTCCGACTGCGCTGCTTCACGCTCTTCTTCGTCTTGAGGTTCAAAAGCACAAGCTGTGGGATGGTTGAACGAAAACTGGATGAACTCGACGAGATAGCTCACTTGTCTCTAGCTCCAGAGACCCATTCTGCGGACTAAGCGGGTACACGAGCTCGTCGTTGAGGTCTGCATCAAGAGGGGACTCCGACTCGGTTACTGGGGCTTCAAGAGGTGAAACTGGCAGACTGAGAGACGGATATCGATCCGTGCTCCCAGGCGGACTTGAATTATCATCCAAAACAAGTCGACGCCTTTTAAAAGGTCTCACACTCTCTTCCTCATCTTTGTTGCTCTCGTCCTCGTTTCTCCTCTCTTCCATCCTCTTCTGGCTCGCTTCAACATTGTTGTCCTTCGACGTTCGATCCAACGACCGAGCGTCAATGGAAGAAGATATGGCTAGAGCTGGAGCTGACGATTGAGATGGAACAGAAACAAAAGAAGAACAGGATATAGGATATAGACTGAGCTGTCGTGGTGCATTTGAGGAACTGAAATCCAACATTTTCGAAGGACCCAAATCCGACGAGAATGTCGTGAAGGGCTGTCGCTGAAAATGTCCTTGTTGTGGTGGATTGGAGGTAAAAGAAACCATACGCCGCATTCGACGTAGCTCGGCCTCTGGGTTCATCATCTGGACCGAAGATCGTTAATCCTGGTATCCGGAATGGAGGGACGGGAAATCACCTCGGGGCTTGGTTTATTCTATAGGTGTGAGCGTCTTTTCTTTCTTTCGCTCGATGAGTTGGGTTCCCTTGGTTCAGCGTTTCGGATGGATACAGTATGTAATGCGAGTTCGATGGGATTTCGTTCAAGATGAAAGGGAGAGGGCTGTCTTATGCATCCACGATTGAAGAATGTTGGCAAGATATAGGTGGTTCGGAATCTTGACGATTTTTGCGGCAAAAGACTATAAAGGCTGTATGGCGAAAGACCTCTTCTAAGTATATCCTGGAACAAATTAGCCGACGCAGAATATCTTCCTCAAATGACGCACGATGATATCGAGATTCTGGATTGGTTGGAGAGAATTTCGCTGAAGAATCCGCAGAATTGCTGAATGCAATTCGCGGTTGCAGATTACTGGAATGCTTGATACAAGGCCAACGACGACGGCGTCGTTAATCCCTTCATACGGCGACCACACCTTGAATTCCTTTGCGAAAATAAGCCATCCAAGCCTTATATTCCGTCCCAGATAAACGCACCTGGGGATACTGTCTATTCGCAGGCCTGCTCGGTCGTGGGTGCAGCGGAATTATCGCAGCTCCTCGACGGAAAACGGTCTTCTCGACGATATTGGCTTTCAGCTCTTGACAAGCCAACGTCCACTGACGAAAAAAAGGTGGTTTTAGGGAAGCAAGGTTAGAATCGCCGTGGGAAGATTGAATTGATTGACTGACGCGAGATCAATGACGTGAAGGATTCTCGGGCTTGTTCTCCTAGTTCATCCCCGGATCCTTAGCGGTGCTTCGCACCAGTCCCCTTCACTCTCCGGGCGCATTATTAAGATGGAAACTCGATGCTATTTTTTCCAACCTCTCTGTGATTCCAGAAAAAAGTCTAGACTTGAAGACCGCAATGGGGATCAAACAAGGAGCAATCCTCTCATGACCCCAGGACTTGACCAGAGCAAACTGGAATACAGATACTATCGAATTTGGCGTCTAGACGGCAAAAAACCTGAAGTTGAGTTCCGGTCTCTTTTTGAACAATCTCTTCAGTTGTCTGGATTTGGTCTGGATGTTTGATTAGCTAAAGGTGAAAGGACAGAGAAAGATGACAACCTGACCTTTCGTTCTAGGTATGATCCAACAAGCAATGTTTCCCGAACAAGCACAAGTGTACCTGCCATGCAAGCAATGAAGAGGTAACATAGAATGGCGAGTCCTCGAGTTCTCAATCGGCCTTGATGAGTGTAAGATCTCAAGAAAGCCATAGTGGATAACATAAACATAATTCAACTTGAAGATCACAGTCAAAGAGAGGACCTTTCTATGGCCGGCAATGGTCCAAAAAGAAAGCGACGTAAATAGATATCCATCAGCAATTCGGGCTTGTCCGTGGGTTACAGAGAACCCTCTTCTCCTTCGGAGAGTTCGGGGACCCAGATCAAGGTGTACATTTGAATCATCAGCCGAGTCTTCCGTCATATATCAGTATTATTGCTTGCGGAATCCGTTCAGGGCGACGAAAAGAAGTCCCGATGGTGTCCAGCCTTCCTTCCTTCCCGGTCGGTACCAGTCCCACACCTTCCTTCCTTCCTTAGATCTTCCTGCCTTTCTGTTGAAACCATTGCATTCGCTGTAAACTGTTAAACCATTGTTTCATGAAACCGCTTCAAGACCCTTCCTTCCGGATTCCTTCCTTAGATTTCCTTCCTTCCCTGCTGGAATCATTGTTACCTCCCTCGGGAACCCAATCTATTTGTTGCCAACTATCAAGCGAAAGACTGCAGCAGACGAGGCAGAGTTCCTCATACAAGATCCATCTGATTCGGTAGCGACCGCAGCTGGAAATAGTTTCATGACGGTTCTAGCCATGATGATAGTCAGCCAAAGCTTCCGTTGTACATAGCTGCCTAGATACACTAACCATATGTAATTGATCCGCATCATACGCATCATCTTTCTGAGAATCATACCGTTCGTCGTCCCACCATCAGAACCTTGTTATATTTGGGAGGCGACTGAGGCTATGGCGGTTTCCTATGTTCTCTTGGCAATCCCTCGACCCAACCAAACTTCATCCAAAGCTCTCCCGACGTCAAGTCCTTGAAGATGACATGTCATCATCCCCGACATGATCCTTCAATTTCCGAAATGCAGGGATAAGAACTTCCTCCAAATAGGGCCAGATCAAGGCATCGGCGTCAGAAAGGATTTTGAAGAGATTGAATCTCCCCTTGGGATCGAGTTTAACCTGGGAATCATACCAAGGTGTCCCATTCCATCTCCGACTTTGTTTGGATCTGACTTTGGCAGCGCAAAAGCTCGAACCAGCAACATCGAATAAACCGCGGCAGGTCGATAATATCCCCACCTCAACCCCTCTGCATTAGGGATTTCTGATTCCGTCGTGTCGCGCGGTATATGGCATGATCTTGGAAAACAACTCGACAACAAGATGCTCAGTGAGGACATTGGGGCCTGTAGCAAGACGCCTAGGGAGTCGGTGGTCGCCGGGGCCGGCAGGAGTGAAATAGTCCGAATTTCCACTGTCCACTATGGACTCGTCGATGCTCGATGCTGCATCAGCATAGAACTGGAGGAGTGAATCGATATCGGCTGGGGTTTGGGTGCAAAGCTGCATGAAACGCTGGGTAGAAGCTTTGAAAAGTCTGGTGAGCTCGGGGAATGTCGGTATCTCGTCGTTGAACAGCTTCGTCAGGCTTGTGGCATCTCGCGGGGTCACGAAAGCATCGACGGACCGCGTTCTCGTGTTCGTTCGGGGGAGCCTTTGGGAGGCATGTCGAAAAAGAAAGAACTTGGGCGGTGAGCGCCAGCGACAAGATGTAGTCATGGTGACCAGCAGAACAACAGTGACATAGGATTCACGGAAGCACCTTACTGCTGAATTCCAAGGTGAACAAGTAGACTAGAAGGAACTTGAGAGGTACCTGAAACCATGGTGAACACGATAATGTAGGATAACGATTCTTGCTCACCATTTCGAGGCTTGTCTCGTTTCGGGCTCTAGTCAGGTCGCAAAGCCAAACGACCGCTAGCACGTCATGTGCGAATGAATTGTCGGTCTAGGATACCAAGGCGGAAAACCCTGGTTCCATAACCCGTCTTCTACATAGACCTCGTCGCGGAATCTCTGCTTTGCCGTCTCGTTCGAAATCTTCCCGACAATCTTCCCAACCAGCTCTACTTCCAGCATTCTCGTCAACAATAGCAACTTCAATCTCGGGATTGTCCAAGGTTTTTTGGCTTCACTCGAAGCTATTGTTGGCGTTGGGCGCGGTGAAGCTGGAGCAATGCTGACGAAGGTTCGACCACGGAGTAGTGAAGACGCCGAGCAATACTGATGATTCAGCGATGAACCTGGGGTGAATAAGGCGAGATGAGGTGGCGACGAGCTGGGACGATGGATAACCAACGGACTGGAGCAATATATGAAGATGAAACGAGAGGTGTCCAATTATCCCATTTCGCCATCAAGCTCTTCAGAAAAAGCTCTCGCGAATCTCCATCTCCACCTCGACGACCCAAGCCTCCAAGGTTCCAACGAAGCCATTGCTATCGGTTTCGGGGGGCATTAAAGCCACTGCTTCGGCTTCAGAGCACAATGCTGCTGGGTGTCGATTACTGGTGCTTCCTGTGAAGAAAGAAGCTACTGATATCGGAGCTATGAATCACGAGCGCAATGAAGTCGGTTTTCTAGACCCTGTGGTGTCGACGACTGGGTCTCTGTTTCGGCTTCTCGACAAAGGTAAAGCGATGATGAAACGACGAAGGTTCGACTGCTGTTGAACGAAGAATGAACGGTCTCCAGCTGGAGCAAGATATTGCGACTGGGACTGGGAAACGTACGAGCTCGAGGGATGATAAACGGAGAAGGGCGAAGAAGCGAAGAATATGTGATCCTAAGGATTCTCGCAGCATTTGTCGAAAACCCTCTCTCAAGGTCTGCCTGCCTTTCTCTTCACCGGCTCTCCCGAGACCTCTCGACAATCTCTTCGACGACCCCCAGGCGAATCTCACCCTCAAGGCGAATTGCTCGAGCGAACGAAGACGCTGGGTCCAACGCAAAGGCAAATCCTTGACGGCAGTGAACGATACTGCTTGCTAGATACTAGTTCCGCAGCATGAATTGGAAATCATCTTTGTGATACTGACAAAGACAATTTGGTGACGTGGATACCGATAAGGCTAGTTCGATGATTCAACCTTTCGGGGCGTAGAAAAGATGTCACGGACAAAATGGAGACAAAGGAGCCCGAATAGTCATGGCTTAGGGTCATCACCAGCCCAGTCATGGCTGATGACCTGCGTGAATGAAGGACGGCGTTTCACGGCATAGGCTTTTTGTCGCTCCGGGTCTGTCGCGTCTGGCTTTCCGTTGACTTGGTTCGTGAGTCCTGAGCTGGCTCCAGTCATTGAGTAACATGTATATGCGAGTGATGGTCTTGGACGAAATCTGTGGGACAATGAGCATCAAATTGACCAAAAAAAAAAGGCTGACCACTCGGCTTCGAGCTTACGCTTCGCCAGAGTCGCCTGGACGGAAGCAACAGCCTTTTCCCTCGCAATCAGAATCCTCTTCGCCTTGGCCAGATCCTCAACCGTCCAGTCCGAATAATCCTGCGCCTTTGCTGGTGCGACCTTCTTCTTCTGATGCTCTTCTTCTTCTTTCACCGATAAACCAGCCAATTCCTCCCTCAACCCCTGCATGATCCCATCCAAATTCCTTATGCTCGAGATACATTCCTCTAATTCCTCTTTCTTCTTGAACATCCTGCAAACCTCTCTGGTACACGTCTCAATATGGTCGAACCTCGCCGGTCCCAGCATGATTCCGCCATACCAGCGCCGAACGACCACGACAGCATCCAAGACGCCTTCGTTTTGGATGACCTTGGCAATACGGCTGCCGCCCCATTTCTCGCCGTCATCGTCGCTGGCGGCATGGACGGTGAAATCGGAAGGACCGGATAGACCGGTTTGGTTTGCTTTGAGAATCATGCAGCGGAATGCAGACATGGTATGGGTGGCTGGATTCTTGGTACCGGAACCAGGAGCTGCTGAATCTTTGGCGGCACCAGTAGCTCCATTTTTGGCTTTAAGGGTATTAATGAGGGATTTATAGGACGAAGGGCTGGAGACACTGTAAATGCTAGCTGAGAACAAGGAGCCTCGGTCGCGAATGTCCTGAGAGATGAACAAGGCTGCAGGGATTGGGCGACTGTGGGTTATGAAGGCGTCCATGTTGGCTGATTCAGACTAGAACCGTGGGAAGATGTTCGGGCTCGTGGCGCTTAAGCGCTGCGGCCGCCATAGTGCGGCAGGTTAAGAGCGCTGACATCGGTGCTATAGTGTAGTGGTTATCACTCAGGATTTTGATAAGGATGACCTCTTTCTCTTCCTGGAACCCAGGTTCGAACCCTGGTAGCACCTTGAAGAGTGATATGGCAAAGCTTTTTTATACTACCTGGAGCTAATATCCTTTCCAAAATCTTTGCACAGTTTGTTCTCGGGTCAATCGCACTTTCTCACCCCACGTTACAGTCAAATCAAAATCACGTCTGCAAAACCGGAAGAACGGTTGGCCACTCAAAGTCATATTCAACGCGTCATGATCATTGCTCGCTAATTTCTTTCCGTCGGTCTATTTGGCCGTGGAGATAAGCTGCCCTTACGCGAGACACATAGTTTGCTAATAGTTTGCTGGAACCCCTTGAGGAATTTAGTGCCGGGAATTGAACCCGGATGTATCATACGTATCATACGGGTTCAATACCTGGAGTCCTAGAGGACGGTTCCACGGTCTGTGGTATTTTTTGGATTCCACGACCTGATGGTATTCTTGGACTCCACAGCTTTTGGTATTCTTGCTTCCACGGTCGGTCGCCCTTGGCGTCCCGACTGCGGAGCGCTGAAGATTTTTACTACCAGTATCAAACGATCAGTCATGTTACAAACGATCAGTCTACCTGTACGACATATTTGCCCGAGTATTCCGGTTTCGACGGCGTTCATGTCAGTGTATTTTAATACAGGTGCACTTTTTGATACGGTGTGCTTTAATACATTCGCGGACTATACGTGGCATCGCCTAGTTCATCTGTCCATTTGACATCAAGAATCTTCCGCATACACGCATAGCATTGAAGTAAGGATCTGTGTTGCGACAAATGACGTTGACAGGCATCTTGGCTCTGCCTTTCGAAGATGGTCTGATTCATAAGACCTGTGGATATATACATAGTACCTTTGGACTCGGATGGTATTTTCAAGATGGCCGAAAGATGATCACAGGGGCGGAAAATCCGCGTAATCGGTGGATGTGGAAAAACCCCGACGATACCCGAGGATTGTATTGATCTGTTAACATGTTCATTTGGCATAATTTTACACTATGAGTCATTACTAGATCGATAAATATACTGTGGTATGTAGACATAAAAAGCATTGAGAGAGCAAAAAGAAACCTAGAGAGTCATTTCATCTGATCCATCGCATTCCCTGAGCGGGAACATGGAGAGGGCTGGATCCTTCTATAACGATGGGTATTGGGTGCCGTGGAGGAGAAGAAATTCTCCGCGGTCCAACAACTCGCTCCAAACTCCGGTGATTTCTCCCTCCAGGCGCTATATGTGTATTATAATGTCGTTCCATATTCGACTTGACGCCGAATTCTTTCCCACACCGCGGGAAACTGCATATAAACGCTATTGAAACGAACAATGAGCTTCAGGATAGCCAATGCAACAATAGACATACTAGGAACTGAATCATCTGGCGTTTCCTTTCGTTGATGAATAGAGCGCCAGTGTCTCCTCATATTCGAATTGACTGTAAATGATCTATCACAGCCAGGGTCCGGGCATTTGAACGCTGACATATATGATGATGATGAGATCGATGCTCAATAGAATTCAAAAACGGAACAACATACGTGTTTCACCGGTATGCACGTTGATATGCAGCCTCAGACTGCTGGGCGTCTTGAAGTGCTTCTGGCACGTCGGACAGGCGTACGGACGACGCTCAGCCTTGTAAATCTCTGGCTGGCGGTACTCTCCGGGATTTAATCTCCGACTGAGATCCCATGATCGTCTGGAAGTGGCGTCATGATCATGCTGATAAAGATGCGTGGGTGGACAGGTGCTGCAGTTGGAAGAGCGACATCTCCCATGATACCTGGAAGAATCTTCCTCAGATTCATCCTCGTCCTCTTCGGACGCTGTGAACGGGGAATCCCAAGTCACATTGCGGCTGAGTGAATACCGGGGGCGCTGATGAGGCTGTTCAAAAGAGCGCCGACTGCTCAATGAAGTCGGCGGTGCTGGTCTCTTCTTGTCCTTTTATCGATTTCAATTAAACCCCATAGGAAGGAATCCCAGAAAAACTGACCTGAGGTTGTTCTGGACCATCAAGATATTCTAATCCGATTTAGTCAACAGTAGCGCTGTATAATAGCCAATAAACATACCTGAAAACATTTCGTGGATGCTAGGAAGGGATGCCATGATCAAGGATATAGGTGGAGGGAAAGCGGTGAGCGAGGGAATGTCAGTCAAGCTTTATAAATGGCGCCTGCTGGCAGATTTGATGCTTACCCATGGTAACCGCCCCTTCAAGCCGTGTGCGCCCGTCGGAACGTCGGAAAATACGACTGTCCAGGGAAGATCTCTGTTATGATGCTGATGGAAGACGTCTGACATAGACACGCTGACTATCAAATTCCTGTGACAACGGTTGATTGATCCCCGGCCGTAAATAGTTTAAGGATCATGATCCATGATCTTGGTCTTGATCAAGGTTCACCACGACGGGTACTGTTCGCCATGCCAATGGGGCTCGTTCTGGGTGCATATAAATCATTCTGTGGCGTTACGGATGCAAATAAACAGGATCCAGCGATTGCAACGGTTTGCCATGCGTGTGGATCTTCATCTGCTGTGCTTTACCAATCATCCCAATCAATCACAGCCTTTCAACAGCCAAGTAGACATCTCACCCGAATCAACCCGTGTTAATATAGATGATGTGTGGGAGATGGGTAACCCGCACTAAGACACGAGGTCTTTGGCAGAATGAGCTTGAAAAACGGGTATCGAGCCAACTTTGATATGCAGTGAAACGCATCGCTCGAACCGACGGAAGTCACTTGAGAGCGGGAATTGTCACCTTGTAAAAGGCTGGAAAAGTGACATATCTCTAGCGGCCCTTGATCCTCCGCGGCCCGAAGCCAATGACCAGCGGCACACTAGCATATCGGCTTGGACTGCCGCTGCTGCGGATGCCCGGAAATTATCCAAAAGTTGGTTTACCCGCGAAGATCGTGTCAGCGCGGGTGACTCTTTCAAGTACGATTCCCGAACACAGGCGGGAGTGGGGAAGAGCGGTGTTTAGTCATCACCCGACTCCCCATATATATCTTGCGATGTCTGTTGCACCCAGCCGAGTCGGTTTTCGTTGGAGAGGGGGAATTCTTGACAGTCTCAATACCTGATTTCTCCAAATTTCGGCAAAACGCTCCGATTCACAGGTCTCTTACGGGTATCAGGGTCGTTCAGAATAGGAATCAAGTGCAGTACCTAAAGAAATTTCACTCTTCGCCACGGCAACACGGACTGCAAAGGCCACCGCTAGACAATGGCAGGGAACGCCGGGATCAGTACCCAGTTTCTCAACCCCCATTCACTCCGGGAAGCGGGAGTACTGCGCCTAGCACAGTTGCTTCAGGCTGTAATTTGTTTTACAGAAAGTCAGGGTCAATCGTCGGTGGAATTAGATGAAACTGAGGTCTCCATACCTTTTTTGTTTTTTTTGAAATCTGGGCATTTCTATACCGCAACAAGTAACAACAAAAGTACTAAGACGCGGTCGTTCGCCATTACGACCATGAGCAGGGCTGGGCCGAGCTGGTAAGAGCGCTTTTCTCCTTTACGCTTGCTTTTGATTGTCCGTTAGATGGGTGGAGAGATTCGTGGAAGAGCTGGTGGTTTGATTGGGTTACGTTTCAGGTCGGCGGGTGGAAAAGCTGTGAAGCTGATCCTAAGAGAATTTCGCTAGCGCCTCCTGTGAAATGGGGTGCTCGCAGGCGTGTCGGTCGTGGGGATGGTGCTCCGGGGTTGTTGGCTTGTGCGAGGTGCGTCATTATCCTTCTCCTCTCGCCTCCTCGTCCTCATCCTCTTCGTCTTCTTCAGGCTCGTCTCTCTCGACCGGATCCGGATCCAGGTCTCCATACCTAATTTCCGAAATCGCTCTTGATCTGGGAACCCAAAAAAGGTTTACGTTGAGAGTCTTTCGCCGTTCCTCGAAGGTCGTACCGAATGACGGGAAACGTGTCCGTGTCCCTAGTTTCCGAATTTCGAGATTGTCAAGTTGGGACTTAGACACGACTCGGAGCGAATAGCACAAGTGAGCTGGACATATTCCGGATGAAATCATCCCAGTCGAAAGGATACATATGCCATGCAGATCACAAGATGTGTGATTCATGGATGGGCGCTGAGTGACTCTCGAGCTTTGAGTCATCCTAACGGCAACAGATGCCTCAGTCACGATGATTTTCATGCCAATGTGCTAGGCTACCGACGACTTCATTTCCAAAGCGCAATGCTAGACCCTGAATTCCGCATACTGGACAGATTGCGCCGGAGAAAGTGCGAGCGAGAATGAACTGTTCGTGGATGCCCAGCTTGTGGTCTTGTCTTGCCAAGGAGGTAGGTCATGATAGGACCTGGTGAGCCAACCACGGTGATATATGTCCCAGAGAAGCAACATTGTGAAGTATCCACAGCTCAATAACACGATCGACGAGCGTCGATCTTAAAAGCTGTTTCCTTGGAAACACGGACATTCATCGTCCGGAAAAATCTTGATGCAAAATATGTATCTGAATAACCCGATAGAGCAGCCTCCACTATATCCTAAAAGGATCATCCGAGCAGAAAGGAGCAGGAACAAGAAAGTTATTGTACCATTGTTGAATGTCGAGCGTCAAGAACGAACATACGAGCAAAAGTACAATCAAGATTGACTGGAGTTTCGAATGTTAATCATATATTGTCAAGTACTTCGACGGGCTGCTCGAAAGACAGCGGTAACTTCGACATGAAGGTGTCAATCTGAATGAGTCACACGTAGTGACAGAGTGTGACACGCCACAAATTCCACTGACAGCACATGTAATTTCCGACCACGCGTCTAGAAAGCTAATCAATTGTAGCAGGATTCATCCTCGTCGAATAGCTCTTCACTCTGATCAGCATCCCGCTGTTACGCGGCTTTTGCAACTCGACCCAGTGTCCATCTTCTAGGCCTTTCATACCATGTCGGTCTCCATACATCTCGTAGTATTCGAGGAACACAGAAGGCTGCAGCCTCCTTCAGCTGGACGTGTCTCGCCGACGCTGTCGCTCAAAATTGCATCATAGTGATCAAGG